TAAAAAAAATTAAATTAAAAAAAACAAGTTTTTTTTGTACATCTGACAAGCCCAATGACGTATTACATGCTATTAATAAAAGAAGGAAAATAGTAAATACCACTCTTATCTACATAATTAACCTCTCCCTCTCTCAATCTCTCTGTCAAGGCTACATTGGTTAAAATCAACGGACAACCCCTTTTGTATATCAAATTGTAAATTTTAATGTTTTCATTAGAATAGTCTTTTATAGCACTCTCCAGTAAGAAGGCAATAAAATAACTAACAGCGCACTTCAATACAGGGAACACTCTCCAGATTAACAACTCAAACAAAAGTGTAAATGTAATCACATATAATACAATTGAAGCATCCAAAACAATTTAAATAACTTTAAATATTTTATTTTTCAACTGCCACAAATGCTTTATACAATATTTCAACATAAAGTCCCCATGACAGAAATGTAATAAAATGGGAATGATAGTGAAAGGGTTAAAGTGGCACAAATTCACCAAACAAGTATTAAACTACAAATTTTAAGAGGTAGATTACTTTTAAAGTTGAGAACAAAAAAAACAGTATGAATAAAACCTAGCCATTTTCCACCAACTCAGTCTTTAATTTAGAAGGAGGCATAAAAATGCATGGAGAAATGATACTCATGTATTTAGGAAGAGGCCAATTCGTCGTTTTCATCTCGATTAGAGATGGAAGTGTAAAACCTGGTATGTAAATTCATTTACTTACATGTAGACGCACATCCCTACAGGCCTGGGATGCACCCTGTGCAGTGACATATTGCTACATAGTCTCGGATCACAGTTATAAATTAGAGCTAGAGAGTAATCTGGGAGGATAAGGTCCATGTGGATAAACGCTGGAAGAGGCATTAAAAAGAAATGATTCCATATCCAACCTGGCTTCCCCTCCAGGGTAAGAGTTCAGCTAAACGCCTCCTCGTGTGTCTATAATCCATTTAAAAGAAAGGCATCAAGAGCTGGTGTGTGACCAGAACGTGTTAAAATGAGTGCATCCAAATTTGTCATCCCTGAAATCTACAATCAACAACTAATGAAGCAGAGAACTTGCTTTGCAAGATTAAGTTCGAATCATTCCCTTCTCTGCTATGTGCCAGAAACAAGGGGCCACACTCAGATCTGAGTTACCAGTCCCATGATGAGGTGCCAGTTCATCTAGCCCGTCTGACAGGCCCTTCTCTTTGGATCTCAATCACCCGGGAGCCCAGCATGCGTGTTGGGCACCACCGAAGAAGCAGATGCCTGACTCTAACCAGGGCAGCAAGAAGCCTGCTGGCAATCAGTGGTGTGTTAGGATTTTTGAGTCAGCTTCAACTGGTCTTGCAAGCTTGGTAGATTTCATATCCTTTGCCGTAGTGCTTATCCTAAGTTGAGCATGCAATATCTTTTAGTCAATTAAGGTTTGTTTTGTTTGGGGGGCTTTTTCTACAGGAAGTTCCTAGAAAATAAGAAAACTGAAGATAAATGACAACATAACATAATCTTATATGAATTGACCATGTTAAAGAAAAAGGTGAGAAGACCGTAAGACAAATGTTATTAAGACAGCAACACATAAATGACTCTTAAGGTATTTAGGAATTTGGGTGTCTACTCAGACACACTGGCCCACATCTGAGGAGTATAGCAGAGATGGAAACACGAGAAATGAGAATTTCATTTTCTAAACCAGTTCATGATAAATGGGAACACTTGGACTGGAATTTCACACTGTTTTTCTGTCTTTTCAACTTCTCAACTGCCTGCAATGGAAACTTGATATAAAAAAGAAAAAAGTTGCTCTAAAACGAGTATTATGTCATGTAAAAACACCTTGGGATTGACGAAGGCTAAGAGGGAAGCAGACAGTGTACTCGGCTCTTCTCTGTGTGTCTTATGGGGAGGCCATGAACCCTCAGTCCCACACCTAAACTCAGGCCCATCCACGAGCCACAGGCAGGCCCTGATGGCTAGCTCAGGGGAGTCACCCTGCTCAGAGCCGCGACAACAGAGTCTGAAAGATGGGTGGCAGGCTGCACTTCCTTGGCCGCTTCGCCCTAAGAAACGGACATGGAACCCACATCTCTTTAACCCGGACTGGCACAATGTATTGTGCTCCAGGAAATGACTGATCAGCAAACTGCGGAACCCTCAGAGTTAAATGGAAAACTCTGACTCCGTTCGCATGGCTGGATACAAGCATGTGCTCACAAACTGTGGAACTAGGCTGGCAAACATACAAAGTCTCACGTGTAATCAGTTTGTTGTCAAGAAATACACAGGTAAAGGATGTGCTGCCAGTTCTGTGCCAAACCCTGAATATGCAACAGGGCAAAGAAAGCAAAAACTACTGAAAACAAGTATTTCTCAACATGAAATAGACCCCTATGCTATGAACTCCTGGCTGAACAAAATTTCGTAGAAGTAATACTGAAGTGGGATGACAGCTGTGGTTAAATAACTGCGCACCAACAAACACGCTGAGGATGAGGCCTCCTCTGGAGCAGCCCTAGGCAAGACAGTAACAACCACCCCCTATTTCCAGTCTCAGTTTAGGAATTCTTCAGTTTTGTACTGAATTCGCTAAAAGGTACTGAGAAGAACAAATCAAACTGGGAAAATGCCCAGAAATATTTCCAGATAGTCAAAATATGATGTCCTGGCCCATCTGCGGTGGCACAAGTGAGAGGGTACTGCTGGTGCACTGTAGGCCACATGGGAGGCCCAGGTTCGGTTCCTGGCCCAACCTAAAACAGGTCAGGCCTGGTGGCACTTACCTTGATCCCAGCTATTGGGGGGAAGGGGGGAGGGCAGGAGAACTATGGAATGGTGAGACGCTGTCAGAAATATCTTTCTCCCCTTCCTGCTCTCCCTAGTATGTGCTTCTCCCTCTCTCTCATTAAAATAAACCAAAAAAAAAAGGTCTTGTTGAACATTCATTTTTTAACTCCCTAAACACTTCTAAGTTAATGGTCCCTTGGTAAGTGGGCCCCTGGGTAAGACTCCCAGTTCTACACCTGTGTCCACAGCACGGTTCCAAGGATCAGACAAGTGCCTGTTGCTACCAACTACCAGTGAGGACGGTACCTATGCTTTCCTTCCGATTTCTTTGCATGTCCTTTTAGGCCAAATTTCACCCCCAAAATGTATCCTTGTCAACTATCGAAGCAAAATAAGTAAAATTAGCTAGAATAGAGAAGAAAGACACAATTTTGTAGGTACTTTAGTCCTTTGCAATCTTAAAAGTTCTTCAAAAACTTGGTAAGTAAGATGTTAATTACATGAAGCTCATCAACTTACACTTAACTCGGAGAGCTTTTCTTTGCAGTACTTAACTTTTTGTATCTCTTGAACTGTAGAAACAGGATACAGTACAAGCAATTCTTTTACATTTTATCAGAGACAAAAAAGGACGTTCTAAAGATGCAGTACCTAAAGAATCAACCACCTGGGAGGTATTTCACACCATCTGTGAAAAGGGATGGTATGTTCTGGTTAAGACATAAGCAACTTGGAAAGGACTCAGCTCGGTCATGTTCTGTTGGTGTGGCCCTTCCAGAACACAGACTGAGCACACACAGGTACATGCTTAAACTGCTGAAGGCAGGTAGCTCTGACCACTGGTAAACGGGTGCTTATCCTCTCCAGGGTGAACCTCTAAGATGCTACCTATGCAAAAGTTGGACAGGATCTATGGCAACTGAATATACAGTAAGTTTACAAGGTAGTTTTTTACAACTCTGATCCTCCATCCCTACCGTAACTCATTCAAGCAGTCCTGGTTAATGGTTCATCTCTACATCTTTCCTTCGCAGTGATTTCAGGCACACCCGTCCCAAGAATTCTACGTGATACAGTATGCAGGAGTAACGGCACTTTTGTGCCCTCATGACCTCTCCAAAACAGTAGTAGCTCCACATTTATGTAGCCCTAATTGTTTGCCTGAAACACCAGAGAATTCCCAGACACCAAAAGTGGTAATAGCCATGAAAGCCTAGAGTCAGGTCTGGCCGCATGCTCTGCAAAGAGAAGATTTAAAAGTATTTTGCAGAAATGCTATCTGATGATGGAGAGTTTCACGTGAGACTGGCCTGTAGGCATTGTGCAGAACATGACAGGAATTCCAAGAATGCACATCTACTCAGGTTAACTGACTCAGAGAAGTCAATGTAACAAGCTTACTACCTATCTCTTTATGTGTCTCTACAAACAATTCTTAATATGGAGAATACCTGGGATAAAGCCATAAGCTAAGCGAACCCTCACGTTATTCTGAGGAACCAAAGGCACTGACAAATGAAGGTGTCTTGCCCTTGGTATGTCACGCGTGAAGGGACCTAGAGGGTCCTGCTCGCTGTGGGGTTCTGGCCTTCTCTGCTACTCTTCTTGCCCTGACCTGCATATTACTCTATGGCTGGAGACAGGGAAGGAGGGAGAGAAGAACATGGGGTATTTTTAAAGGAGTTACATTTTGTACGTGGCAAGTTTTCAAAACTAAAACATTGGCAATGAAAGAAAGCATGAATATTAACACCAGTCTCGGTTATGGTAACTATGCTGAAGTCAGAGAAGCATCAACTAAGACTGCAATGTGATTTACAAAGAACTCAGTGATCCACCTTGCAAAAAAGGATCTGCAATACAAGCGACAGAGCTACTACCCAGGAGATGAAGGAAGTGTGAGAGAACTTCACCTTGTCACATAGGACACTTCTTTCAAGAGCTTTTCTGTGGTTTCAAATTCAACTCATACCTGGTCTGTGAAAGAAACGGTACCACTCTGAGAGTCCTAAATCAGAAATTAAAACTATTTTTTGGCTCCATGGCAGCCAAAGCAGTAACCTGTCATGCCTACAACTCACTCAGTGGCTCTCCCATTAAAAGCTTAGGTCAAAATTTGACAGGAAAAGAAAAAAAAAAAAAAAAAACCACCCACAGCACCCACGGGCAAGAGTACTGCTGTCTTCCCCTCCCCACCTCCCCAGCTCCTGAGCTTACCTGAAGTCCTTCAGCTCCTGCTTGGCACTGCTGTCCTCCCTCCTGTTTTCACTTGAGTCAGCAGCAGCTGCCAGCTGAAGGCTTCGGGTGATTGGCCCCCCACTCCGTTCTCGAGATTTTATATTGAACCGGTCTGTTCTTTTCTTACTCGCCAAAGCAGGTTTGCTCTGAAGAACAGCTTTGCTTTTCTGCACCCTCACGTGCAGGCTCCGGGATGCTTTGCTCGAGAGCTGAGCAGAATGGTTCTTGGCCACAGCTTTGGGTTTTTTCCCTTCGACATGAGTTATTTTGGCCATTCTTATGGGGCTGGAGTTCCTTAAAGAGGAGGAGCTTGGTTTCTTGGACTTCACCGAACCTGCAAACTTGACATTCTGCTTGGACCTGAAGGATGAGGAGGGCAGGGGGACTTGAGCAGGGCCTGAGCTGCGAGCTCTGGTCTTCCCCAAAGGAGTCTGCGTGCTTTGCATTTTAATCTCTGCATCCGCTGTCCGTCTACGGTGATTGCTGCTATTGTTTCTGTCGCTACCTGCAGGTGATGAGTGCGAGCCTTTCTTGGATGAATGAGAAACTTTTTTTTTGGAAGGGGAAAGGGGTTTTTTGGGACAGCTGAAAGCGGCGTGTTTATTCAGGCTTCCAATGTAAGTGAACTCTCTATTACAGTAAGGGCAGATGTGCGAGGATGACTCAGAAGCATTGTTTAGGTCAGCCTTCTGCTTGGCAGATTTATTTTTCTGAAGGATTGCTTTCTGTACAAGCTGATTTTTTTTCTTCAGTGCATTTAATTTGAGCTTATTCGATGACATTTTGCTGAGCTCAACACTAAAGTTCAGTCTCTTGGGCTGTCCCATTCGTCTGAAGGCATTTTTCCCAGAGTTATCTAAAACCACCACACCATTCTTGGGTTGTACGGTCTGTTTCAACGGCACTGGATTTTTCTTAGGGGTATACCTCTTCTTGTCACTCGCAGAAGCGCACGCCAGGATATGTTTGTGTAACTCAGGCATGTTGTCAACACCTTTTCCACACTTTGTGCAGCGGATGGCAGTCGTAAAAGTCTGTGGAATATTGTGTGTAGTGAAATTGGTGGCCGTCACACCAATACCCATAGGGTTTCGGTGATGGTACTGAAATGGAGGTGGTTTAAAGCTTGGGTAATGCTGATTGAGACCCAATCGAACATCCGGATCTTTCGATTTTATTCCGGAAGCCATTATCTTTATGGTTGTGTAAAGCTCTTCGGAGGAATCATTTAACTCTTCCTCCTCCTCTTTAGAAGTTCCTGAAGGCTCTTCTGGCAAACTCTGCATATGCTCCACATGGGCCTTGCTGGGATCTGTAAAGTTCTGGGGCCTCAGAGTCCCACTTTCAAATTCATGGTGTGTGCATACCTGATCTGGGTGGAGATCTCGCTGATGCTGCTGCAAATTGCACAAAAAAGCAAACTCTTTTTTACAAACCGAACACACAAAGATATTCCCAACTCCGTGAAGCAAAAAACGATGTTCTGACAAATCAGTTTTATCCTTAAAAAGCTGCACACAAAATTCACATTTGAAGGGCCATTCTTCAGCATGAATAGATAAATGTTTGGTTAGATCTTTAATGGAAAGAAAAGGTGATTCACAGACATTGCAAACAAAGTTTTTGTTAAATGTTTCCTGAACAGTATCCTGTTCAATTGCAGACTGGGGCTCTTCTCTGGGCTTCAGACCTTCACTCTCTAACTCCTCCTGTTTGAAAGACATCATGGGGAGAGAAGCCTCCAGATTATCACCAGAGGAGACCACAGAGGATACTGCTGAGAGAGGGGGTGGAGAAGGGGAGGACGAGGATGATGAAGAAGAGAATGAAGAGGAGGAAGAGGAGGAAGAGGAAGAAGAAAGTGTCGGGGGCCCAGGTGAAGCGGCAGACATCAGAGGCTCCACTGGGGGAATGGGAGAGGGAGACGGGGACACTGTGGGGGAAAGAATTGGGAGTGGAGACTGCGCAGTGGTGTTCGAGAGTGGAGAGGGACAGGGATGAGGAGAAGTGCTGGAAGAGGGGGCTGGAAGGGGTACAGTGGGAAGGAGGGGAGGGGGCGGAGTGGCAACGGTTAATACAGGAGGACAGGGCGGAGGGGAAGAGGGGTCTGTTGGAATCAAGAGAGGAGGCAGCTGACCAGATGAAAGGGAAGGTGTCTGTAGGGCAGGCGAGGAAGGGCAGGCGTCGGGCGGGGACTCAACAGCAGGGGCAGAAAAACTAGACTCAAGGCCAAGGTCAGGATCTGGCTGGACATCTAGGGATTTGCAAGGACTTGGGCTCCTGGTCACATCAGCAGTATTTTCTACAGGTAAATCGATGCCATTATATTCATTGAGAAGAACCTTCTGAAGCATGCAGGTCGTGGGTTTCTTTTTCTTTACAGCACTACAGGCTGGCTGTACATGGTTTTCTTTGATTTCCCTGCCTTCAGAGTCACTACACGGCTTTTTATGCACACTGAGATCTAATACAGATTCCCACTGGACCGGGGTCTTCCCTGTAGCCTCAGCCTTCTGTTTGACCCCGCTGGATAAATCCAGTGGCTGTTGGTTGCACACATTGCTAAAAGAAGAACCGGCTGTCCACTCTTTTGATATTTTATATTCGTCAAAGCCCGGAGGGCTCACAGTTTCTTTCTCATCTCTTCCAGACAAACCCCATGCAGGTGAGTCACTATGACTTTCTAATTTGGGTTTCTTGGAAGTTAGAACTGCATCAGTCCATACTGCTTTCCCATCACCTGGTTTTGCAAAGTCTCGTGGGGCAGGACTGTGCTGGGGAGAACTGGGAGGCGAGCTGGTTCGCCTCTTAAACCTGCTGGAGGTCACAGGTAACATCGATGCTGGAGCAGACACACAAACAGGGCCCAATTTAGGTATTTCAGCTGCTGAAATTCCTGTGGGAGGAGTTAGTTTTTCCTGGGTTTGAAGAAGTTGTTTGAGTTTTGAGGACAAATAAACATTTTTTTCTTTATGGAAAGATACTGTCTCTGTTGTGGATATGCTAAGAGGCAGACTTAAGGAACAGGAGGGTGCCACAGGGTCAGAGTCTGCTTCAGCTTTAATTTTAGGTAGCACAGGGGGACTAGCAGTTCTCCGTTTCTTGGAATCACTGTTTGTGCTGCTGGCAGGCTCTTTAGGAAGATCGTCTGTTATAGAGACCTGAGTGGTCTTTACATTTTGAGTAATTTCCACTGTAACTGGAGTAAGCAGACAATTTATACCAAACAAGTCTGCCGAATTAGACTCCATCTCAATCACATCACAATTACTGGTGCTGTTGTTAGTCTGAATTTTACCATCAATATAGTAGTTTAAGTTTTCAGAGATATTGCTAGAAATATCCATAATGTACACATCATCTGCTTCCCCTTCCTCCTCTGGCTCTGTGCTTGGTACGTAGACATTCTGGGTGGGTTGGGCCGGCTCTGCTGGAGGCTGCGGCTCTTCGAGGAGGCCTCCTTTTCGTCGTACCCCTTTGGGAATCAGATGGCGCTCATGAACTCTGCGCTGGTGCCGCCTCATATTAGTATGAGTTCCAAAAACCTTTTTACAATATTTGCATGGATGAAGTTCCTTAACTTCCCCATTCTCTTCTACAACTGAAGAATTTACTGTTTCTTGGGAAGCTTTCTCTGAATTCAAGATCAGACAGTCTTGCCCAAGATTGGGAGGATTCAATTCATCTGTAGGAGCAACATTTTCTCCGGATGCTTTGCCATCAGCTAGGTCCTCTGATGGCTGTAGTGTTGGGTTGGGTTTTCGCTTTAACCCTGCTTCATGGCGGCGCTCATGCCGCCGCCTGTTAATCTGTGTGCCGAATGCTTTCCCACAGTACTTGCATTTGAAAGCATGATTGACCGTAGACATATGAATATGCATGTGTCGCTCAAGTCCCTGTTTGGTTGTAAACTTCCTTTCACAATGCTGACATGGAAACATAAATGTTTCAAATACATCACCATTGGCCTCTTCTTTAGTTTTGGGGATTTTGATAACAGGTGTTACCTCTGGTGAGTCGTCAAGAGTTTCTTTTGGAATACTTTTTGGTTCTTCTAATAGATCCTCTGGCTTCTCATCACACCGTATTTCTGGCTCTTTCCCACAACCTTCGTTTGGCATGTCAGCTTCCTCCTCCCCCTCTTCTTCCAATTCATCATCATCATCTTCTTCTTCTTCCTCTTCCTCCTCCTCCTCCTCTTCCTCTTCCTCCAAATCATTTACCTCACAATGTGCTGCATCTAATTTCTCCTCTGGTTCTGGCTGCGGCTCACAGGCAGGGGGAGGGACTAATACTTCTGGAAGCACTTCCTGACTAACCGACTCCTGAAGAACGGCTGGCTGATCAGGTGCTGAAACTGAAGGCTTCTCGTCTTCTTCTTTAGGACCTAGAAAGTACACGGAAGCAGAGGCATGGACATGAGGGCAAAGCCAGCCACTTTGTGATCAATTTGTAAGATTCGAGCTACTTCTCTTACCACCTCTCAAAAGTGTAAGAGATAATGAGTAACAATAAATAGCTTCTACTTACATACTTCACTTATAAAGTTGACAATTTATCCAGCAGTGTCCAAATTTTAAAAAAAAAAAGTTGCACTGAATAAGAATCCATTTCACTCACTTGTCCACTGCTATGTTCCAGGCCACATTATGGGCAGAGAGTAACAAATGGGACAGACAAGAATGCCCAAATGGAGCTCAGAGTCTTTTCTGTGTTTAGTCACACATATATACATCTTTGTTAACAGCCACTGGGTTGCTTAAAATTTTTGGAGTACCCAATATGACCTCTTCCTCTTCCTCCAAATCATTTACCTCACAATGTGCTGCATCTAATTTCTCCTCTGGTTCTGGCTGTGGCTCACAGGCAGGGGGAGGGACTAATACTTCTGGAAGCACTTCCTGACTAACCGACTCCTGAAGAACGGCTGGCTGATCAGGTGCTGAAACTGAAGGCTTCTCGTCTTCTTCTTTAGGACCTAGAAAGTACACGGAAGCAGAGGCATGGACATGAGGGCAAAGCCAGCCACTTTGTGATCAATTTGTAAGATTCGAGCTACTTCTCTTACCACCTCTCAAAAGTGTAAGAGATAATGAGTAACAATAAATAGCTTCTACTTACATACTTCACTTATAAAGTTGACAATTTATCCAGCAGTGTCCAAATTAAAAAAAAAAAAAGTTGCACTGAATAAGAATCCATTTCACTCACTTGTCCACTGCTATGTTCCAGGCCACATTATGGGCAGAGAGAATAACAAATGGGACAGACAAGAATGCCCAAATGGAGCTCAGAGTCTTTTCTGTGTTTAGTCACACATATATACATCTTTGTTAACAGCCACTGGGTTGCTTAAAATTTTTGGAGTACCCAATATGAAGTTAGAGGAGATTGGCAATAAATTTCAGTTTCTTGTGATTCTGGACTCAGACAAGGAACCTGCTAAACATTTTGCCAGGTTAGAGTCTCAGTATCTATCTTAAGTGGATGATCCTCTCTCTCCTTCCCATCTACCACCATATATTTAAAAGCTAGAACATCTTCCAGAATCATGTAATCAGAACTTTTTCAGGTCAAAAGAACTTTAGAGACAGCTCTTCTAAGTCTAATCAAATTATTATGAAGTCAGGAGTGCCTCACTGAAGGAAACAGCAATTTAAAGTCACTCTGATTCTCCAGGTGTAGCCCAACCTGAGGAACAGAGCAGACAAGTGGAAAGGGAAAGACTCAAGAGTAGGGAGACAGTAGAGAAGAGACCCAAAGAAAATGAGGCAAGCAAATATCTGGGGAGGAAAGCACTGTGGATAGAGGACACAGCAAATGCATAAGCTCTGAGTCAAGAAGATGCTGGATATGTTCAAAGAATATCAAGGAAGTCAGAAGGCCAAGGGGGAGGTGGGGTGATGGGGTTAGTAAGAGGAGGGAAAAGGGCAAGAGATGAGATCAGAGAGGTAACCACGGAGCTTCTTATACAAGATCAGGTAGACGGGTGGCCTCTACTCAGGGTAAACAAGAAGCAATTGGAAAGTCCTAACAGAAATATGATATGCTCTGATGTAAATTAAAGAGAATCGCTTTGGTTGCTATGAGGAAAATAGAAAAAGGTACACACAGACAAGAACTGGACTTGAAAGGATCTGCAGGATGAGGACTTTGGTGTGGATGATAAGCAGTGGTCACACCTTTACCTTGGTAAACGGAATATTCTGGGAGATGGGGCTAACAAAACACTCTTGTGGTCAGGATATGGGAGAGAACTAAGAGCCAAGGAAGATTTTTCCATGCAATGGCAAGAGTCTGATTTACTGAAATGTAGAAGGCCCAGAAGCCCAATATACAAGTGAATAGTTAAGCAGATCGTTTCATATGAGCTGGAGTTCAACAAAAGCATAGAAATGTCTTAAGTCCTCTGGGTCGAGGCTATCAGGGCAATGGACTGCATAAGACCATCTAGAATGTGAACAAGAGCATCAGAAAGGAAGCATAGGGACGACAAGGGACTCTTCTTTTTCAGAAAACACACAAACAAAAAAAAACTTTACTTATCTATTTATTCACTTTTTAATTAATTAATTATTTATTTTATTTTGACCAGAAAGGGACGGGGAGTGTGTGTGTGTGGGGTGGGGGGGCCCCTGACAAGGGACTCTTAAAGAGAGGCATTCCAAGAGCAGGATCAGTGCTGATGGGGATGGCCTCGGTGCTGCTGTTACTACATGCTATACTGCTGAATTAGGCCCCTTTTACTGTAGACACTTCAAAGGTTAAAGGAAGGTTCCGGGGGCCAGCAGAGGGTGTATGGTTACATTGCTGGACTCCCACATGGCTGACTATGAATCCTGAATCCCAGACCCCGTGGCTTAAAGATCACTCTAGGTGCATGTGCATGTGTGCCCATAATCCCTAAAAGAGAATGGAGGAGAAGGGACTGTGGCATATCCATCACCCTGGGGGGGAGGCAGGAACTGATTCCCCACTTTCCCTCTGTTTCTCTCACTAGCAAGCACACATGCCCTAAGGCAAAAACCTCTTAAAAAAATAAAAAAAAGAAAGAAAGGTTCAGTAGAGGAAGCAATGCTACTGTGAATTCTCCAGGCTATGTTAACTGGCTAATCCCCCCAAGCATTCAACAAAGACTTATCGAGCACCCACTACATGCCAGTACTAAGTAAACATACTGCCAAGATCCTTACCCTTACAGAGCTTCGCTGAAACAGAAGCTACACATGAGCGGACAGCAATACTAAAATCAACGATGTGCTTGTGAAGTATATGTGTTATGAAAGACATAGAAGGGGTATCTAATACAGGCTTGGTTAATCAAGGAAGGCCTCTTGGAGAAAGCACTAAGCCCAAAAGATGTAAGAACTAAGGGCAGAAGAAGAAAAGCAAGGAGAAATCTAAACACATAAATGCTGTAAATGAGTTTGGAATTATCTGGGGGTAATGGGGATCCACCAGTGTACTTTAAAGCAGCTCACTGGGGAGATCTGGCTGCTTGGATTGAGGGACTGAGTGAAGAACATGACCAAGACCTACACAGAGGTATCAGGACAGATAATGGCTGCTCGTGCTGTGATGGGCATGGAAAGCAGCAGCAGAGGCTACAGAAAATGGCCAGAGGGTCAAGACACAGGAGGCCCATGGACAGATGTGGTGACTACCTGGACACAGCAGAGGGAGAGAAGTTGAAAAGGCCAACTGTTACAAGCTTGGCAAATGCAAAGTCAATTATCCAGCCCTAGTTGTCTCGCTAGGAATATCGGCCTTACTTTTTCCCATCTGCTACTATATTTACTAGGAATGAGGGTTTGGCTTCTAAATAAAAACCAGCCTTCTCTCTGCCTAGATAAATTTCATAAATTCCACAAGCTTTCCACAAACTGGGAAACCAATCCTTCAATGGTGGTAATGTATTCCAAACCAGGAGCTCTCCTTTCAAATACATTTTCAATAGACCCAGAATGGTGGCCCAAGTAAACACGAGACAATAGAAAATGCATCTGTAGGGCTCACAGCTTTCTTTATAGGGTTCATTTCAGTCAAAATCTGTGGCTTCCTTTGATGGCGATGCAGGGGCTGGGGGTGGGGGTCCTTTCCCTAGGACTGGTAAACAATCCCAGATTTAAAGATGCCCAAAGTAATACAAACCTAAATGTGCACAGCTCCATGAACTAGGAAGGCCCATGCCAGAGTGTGTCCCTACATCTGAAGTGGTCTGTGGAGTTTTAAACATAAAGGGAGGTTTGGGGAACACAAAGAAGAGTCTGAACTGTTTGCTCATTATATAGACCATTTGCTGAGGACAATGCAGGACCTTTAGGGGAAGCCTGGATACAGAATCAACCTCACTTTGACCAGCTGTCCCACAAACCGGGTGGTAAATAGCAAGTGTCTTTTTTTCATGGGACCTGATGTCATAGCAAGGGGCGAAAAAAGTAACTATCATGAATTACTGAAGAGGAAATGACTACTGAATAATTTCTTCAATCCTACCACCAAAGGTAATAAGGCTCTTAAGTAACTGTTGTTGCTCAAATAAGAATCTTGGCAAATCTACAAGTAGAAAGCAGAACTTAGTTTTACTGTTGTTTTCTTTTTCCCTGTCTATGAGAAAGAGAAAAAGAGGCAGTAACAGGGAGGCGGGAAGGGATCAGAAGGGAAAAGGAGAGAAACAGACAGATAGAGGCATTTTTTGACAGGGTCTCACTGAGTCATGATGCTCCTGCCTGAGCCTCACTCTTAGCAAGAATCCCAGCCACATGCAACTGTGCCCAGCATGTTTTGGTTGGTGCGAGAACCAAATCTGGGCCTCCCAGGCAGCTTCCAGCCTACCAAGCAGTGGTGCTACCCATGCAGGCCCAGATTGAGTTTCATAAGGCTCTGGAACATGAACTTGTTTATTCTTGCTTCACAAAGCAACATAGAAAATTATAATCCTTCATGAATTTCATCATCACAATGTTAATAAAATGTTTTTCTTTTTAAAGAAAAGCATCCTATATAAATATATATACATATATATATTCTCTACAAATTGTTTCTTGGATGAGTCCTATTTCAGAGCCTATATTCTGAAATTTGCCTATTTGGGTCACTATGAACAACTCTGAACAAGATTTGGTCTGTGCATACATATGCCCAGGACAAATGAAAATATACCTCCCTCATTCCTATCACCAGTCTCAATTATGGTGGCTCAATGGCAATGAGCACAGACCAAGCTGTCCTGATTGACTTTCTTTTTTTTTTGAGAGGTTTTCGCTATAGGGCGCGTGCGCTCGCCAGACAGACAGAGAGAGACATAGAGACAGAAAGCGAGAAATCACCCCCCAGGGGGGATGGTCACGCCGCAATCCCTTCTCCTCCATTCTCCTCTCGGGATCTTGGGCACGCACGCACACATGCCCGGCGTGAGATTTAAGCCACCGGGTCCGAGACGCGAACCGCGGTCGACTACGTGGGAGTCCAGCGACATAGCCATTACGCTAACTGCTGGTTCCCCTGATTGACTTTCACACCCAGCCTCTCTGTGAATCCTTATTATCTTGGGAGGCCTAGAATATTAATCCTCAGAGTAACTATGAAAATGAAATTTTCATCTCTGGGAAAAACAGAGATAAAATTAAAATTTTAAACTCTAACAAAACAAACTTCATTCTATAGACTTTTCATTCTGTTATGTAAAATCAAAGGTGTTTTTTGTTTGTTTGTTTTGCTGTGGGGTATTTACACTCACTGGAGAGAGAAAGTGAGAAATCAGCCTCCTGGGGGATGGCCAGGCTGCAATCTCATCTCTTCTCTTCTCTTCTCTTCTCTTCTCTTCTCTTCTCTTCTCTTCTCTTCTCTTCTCAGGACTTTGGGCGCACACACACATATGCCTGCTATACTTTTCAAGCTGCTGGGTCCGGGACTCAAACTGTGCAGTAGGCCACATGGGCTCCAGCTGCCCTAACGTCCATGCCATCAGCTGGTCCCAAGGTGATTGGTATTTTTAAGGAATTTTTTTTAATTGCCAGAGGGTATGTGTACTCACCAGAGAGAGAGAGAGAGACAGAGAAAGAGGAGAAGAGGGAGAAGAAAGTACCCTCCAATGGGACATGATCGCCACAATCTCTTCTTCATTTCTCCATCCTGTTGGGATTTGGGCATGCATGCCCATTGTTTTTCAAGTCTATCAGGCCAGGACTCAAACTGCAGTCAGTCATGCAAGATCTGAGTCTCTTAGCCACCAGGCCACAGGGCTGGTCCAAGAAATGTTTAATTTGAAGTATGAAGTATATACATATATTAAAGTATATAAATGCCAAGATAAAATTTTTTCAAAGTAAATACACCCATGCAACCTCCCTACATACCTGTAATGGAAAATTATGTCCCTGCAGTCTGACTTCTACCACTATACATTTATTTGATGGTATTAAGCCTTATATTTATGAATATAATAAAGCTTTATTTTACTATAACCAAATAATAATTATTATTATTTTAATTTTTGCTATAGAGTGCCTGTGTTGGAAGACAGACGAGACTGAGAAGGAGAGTGAGAAAGCTACCCCAAGCGGGAACAGTCATGCAGCAATCTCTGCTCCTCCATTCTCCTCTTGGGATTTGGGGCACATGCACACATGCCTGGAGTGCTTTTTAAGCCACTGGGTCCAGGACTCAAAATGCATAGTCAGCCATGTGGGATCTAGCCACCTTAATCTCCTTGATATCTTCTGGCCTAAGAAATATTTTATTTTTAAAAAGGAAGTTCTTTAATAATATTTCGAAGGAAAGGTGGGATGTGAAAGGCTCAACTAACATTAAATTTAGATGGCTTTTTGCTATTTAACCCTATTATAGTTTTTTGGATGAGTCTCAGAAAGGCAATACAAGGAAACACAAATTAACTAGTAATACAGACCCACATGAAATGAGCCCAGTACCACACGCTTACCTTCTGCAGAATCTCTCATATTTGCAGAGGTGGAATCTGGCTCACTTGTCTTCAGCTGTATGTCTTGGGTTTTGTTTCCTTTGTTTTTATTTTCCTGGGATTTTTTCTTCCCTGAAACACAATATTTATTTATTTACTCACTCATTCATTCTTTCACTCACTCACTATCATTCTGAATTCTTGAAGGGTACAATCATTAATTAAATCATAGCAAAATGTACATCTGGGTGATTATCACTTCTGATTCCTAAAGAAATGAATAGATAAGAAGTGTGTGTGTGTGTGTGTGTGTGCGCGTGTGTGTATCTTTTTCTTTTTCAATTTGCCAGAGGGCACGTGCACACGTAAGCGAGAGATGGAGAAGTGGTGGAAAGTGGGAAAGCACCCGCCGTGGGGGGATGGTCCTGCCGCAATCCCTGCTCCTTCATTTCTCCCTCCTTTTGGAATTTTGGGCACACACATCTGGCATATCTTTCAAGCTGCCAGGTCTGAGACTTAAACCACATAGCCATGTGGGATCCAGCTGCCTTAACCACCACGCCACAAACTGTCCTGAGTACCACACTTTAATGTCACATCAAAGAACAATAAATAAATAAGTAAAACCAGTAAAAGCCTCTATTTTTGAGAATCTTGGACATTAGCTCCCTTTATAGATATAGTAGCTATCAAAGTAATAATAACAGATAACATAGTCTCAGGAAGTTAACAATACTGATATCAAAGAAAAATTAGTAACAGCACTGAATTTCAATACCACACAGTAACAGGGACCAACAGACCTGTGGCTATTTGCAAGAAGCACATTATAGGAAACAACATAGTACATAACTCAGGGCCCTTTTTGTTAAGATTGGATTATCTGTAATTGTGAAAGGAAAACAACAGAAGCAGAGATTCTGCTGAATTACAAAGGACAAACATGCACAATTGCTCAAATATACCAAATACAGAGTAATTATGAAAAATTCTCTGTCTGCCAGCACAGAACTCTAAGAGCCAGCACAGCTCAATATTTCATTAGCAATTCAGAGGATGCATTCAAGAAACATTAACTGCATTCCAAGTGATAGCATACTTTAGAAGATTAGATTAAAATGCAACACATTTCTGATAAAGTGAATGATGAGCTAAAGTCACTGAAGACCTCTACTGAATAAAGAAAACAATTTTCTATAGAAGTACTCAAACTAAAGGTTCAGGAGCTCAGTCTCTTTAGGATTTAGCCAGCATTTGTAGCCCTTCTTTTCCATTTTTAATTTTCAATTTCTTTTTCCCAGTGGTTGGTGTTTCTTGGCCTCCAGAAACTCAGCCACGTTCCCGGCCCTCTTCCCTGAACACTCTTCTTCCTGTACACTGCTCTCCCTAACGAGCTGCAAACAACTCCCAGAGCTGTTCTGTCTCTTCCAGAAAAAGCCTGTTGCCACTTTTATCTCTGCATTAGTAAAATGACAAACTAGAAACCACTTATATCTTATAGAACACATGGGAAGTTACATCCTCCATAATAGAGAATTACGCTACAGAAGAACGTTAAGTACCTAATACGCGGACAACAGATGAAAATGAGGTCAGGGACATCAAACGGCGTCACTGAAAAGATCATGATGATTAAAAGTAGAAACATCAGGTACCATATAAAGCAAATCCTATTCCTACCAAAAACAAACAAACAAAAACCTATCAGATTTTTTAACTACTAGAGGGTATGTGTGCTTGGAAGAGGGAGAAAGCAGTCCTCGATAAGGTGAGGCCATTCCACGGTTTTACATTTTCCCATCCCATCAGGACTTTGGGCATGCACGCACATGTGCCAGCATGTCAAGCTACAGGAGCTGGGATTCAAACCACAGTAGGCTGAATGGGATCTGGCTCTCTTGCTAGGCTATGGGCTGGCTTCAACAATAGATTTTGATTAAACCGCTAAGAGATGTAACAAGAAAAAGGAAGTATAAAATACTTAATAATCAGTTATTTAGCTAGTCTTAAAAAGCAAATTTTAAAACACCATTTGAAATGCATAATCCTTCACCCCATAAGAAAACAAGGTATTTTATGCAACTATCTAACGGTTCACTGAAACAAAGTGCTGGTAACATCTACCCATTCATTTCCCAAAGGCAGTTAAAAGGGAACTTGGAACACAAGCATTGTCTTCACTGAAACACATCTGATGGCAACAGAAGCTGAGGATCTCTGCAAAGATGGCTTTTTCATGTCCCCAGGTGAAGAACTGTAAGCCAATCCCCTCTGCGAAGAGCACACACATAATCAACTCCTTTCCAGGTGAATGCCCTCCTTTTAGGATTCCTTCCCTCTGTCAGTTTAAGAGTACTGACTAATCTAGTGACAAAGGCTCCTGAGGGCTCCAGTTGTGTTTAAGGGAATTTGAATTCAAATTCTACCTCCTCTTAACCAGTATTCTTACCCCCAGTATAACATATGCCTTTCCCATGTGCATGATGCTCAGCCCCTATCAGGTTATTGAGACCAAACCAAATGCTTACCGCCCATACATATGCAGTGCAAATATAAATGACTATCTGCCTACATAACTTAATATAATGCTCCAGTGCTGTAACTACTGTGGCAGAAATCCACAGCTTATTTCATAATCATGTAAAGGACTCCTGGTGTAGCCCTCGATGCATGATTCAAAAAGTCATATTCAGAAAAGCTCTTTCCTGAATCAAAAACACACAATTTTTATAGACATGGGTATCACTTCATGTACTTTAAACAGGCCAAGGAATGTGACCTTTTCTTACTGACCACTTACTTTCCACTTTGCAAAACTATAAACTTTTAAGGACAAAGTAAAGAGGTATGGTCTAAACCTTGCCTTTTTGCCTAAACCTTATGTATGAGGGACTTCAAAAAGTTCATGAAAAATGGACTTAAAGTATATGTCTATTTTGGTTCAAAAAAAAAAAAAATGAAGGGAACCAGCAGTTAGCGTAATGGCTATGTCGCTGGACTCCCACGTAGTCGACCGCGGTTCGTGTCCCGGACCCGGTGGCTTAAAACTCACGTGGGCGTGTGTGCGTGCGTGCCCAAGATCCCGAGAGGAGAATGGAGGAGAAGGGATTGCGGCGTGACCATCCCCCCTGGGGGGTGATTTCTCGCTTTCTGTCTCTATGTCTCTCTCTGTCTGTCTGGGGAGCGCACGCGCCCTACAGTGAAAATCTCTCAAAAAAAAAAAAAAAAAAAAAGAAGTCCTTCATAGTTTTTCTTTTTCACAATATCATTTTCCATGAACTTTCTGAAGAACGTCTTGTATGTTTAGAAAACAGAAGACGTCATGGCCCAGCCACAGTGGGACAAGCAGGAAGGTGGTACACGCTGGAATGTGCCCCTGCATGGTGACTGAAGCACATGGAAGCCAATTTATTATTTATTTTGAGAGGTTTTTGCTATAGAGCATGTCACTCACCAGAAAGAGAGACAGACAGAAAGCGAGAAATCACCCCCCAGGGGGACGGCCACGCCACAATCCCTTCTCCATTCTCCTCTCGGGATCTTGGGCACGCACGCTCACGCGCCTGGCGTGAGTTTAAGTAACCAGGTCCAGGACTCAAACTGCAGGCGACTACATGGGAGTTCAGCGACACAGCCATTAGCCAACTGCTGGTCCCATGGGAGCAAATTTAAATAGTGCAGGCATAGTGGCACACTCTTGTCTGTAGTCCTTACTAACTGGGAGGCTAGACCAGAAGGACCACAAAGTAGGAAGACCCTGTCAAAAATAACCCCACTCTCTCTTCCTGCTCTCCTCGCTCATCAAGTATGAGAGAGAGAGAGAGAGAATGTGTGTGTGTAATAATCGGAAAAGTCATGAAATACTTTCATGTCTACACACACACACACACAGTAAAATTTAATAAACATATATCAATCTGTTGTAATGCAATCCCTTGCAAAAGCAATTTCAAGATTTTCTGCAACTCTCAAACACTGTACAAACTCACCAGTTCACGAGGAAAAACTAAGCATACCAGCCTATAAGTAAATAAATTATCCAATAAGTTAAATTTCTAGGCCCAGCCTGGTGGTGCAGTTGGTAGCAAAGTGAACTGCAGTGCTGGAAGCTACACGGCCAGCCATGGGGTCAGATCTCCAGGATGACCTGAAAACACTCTGGGCACGCATGCAGGAACCCAGGACCCTGACAAGTTAGAGAGCTAGGGAAAGGGAATCCTGGTGCTATGAGACCCTTTGAAGGCATTCTCTCGCATGCGCATGTGTGCACATGATGTGCTGTCATGAATAAAATTAATAAAATTTAAAGTGAAATTTCTAATTTTTTTCCTTTTTTTTTTAGATTTTTTTTTTGCTATCGGGAGCATGTGCTGGCCAAAGAGACAGGGACAGAAAACAAGAAATCATCCCCAGGGGTGATGACCACACCACAATCCCTTCTCCATTTTCCTCTCGGGATTTTGCATAAGTGCCCAGCATGAGTTTCAAGCCGCAGAGTCAGGACTCAACAGCAGTTAACCCCATGCGAGTCCAGCGACATAAATCCATTACACCATCTGCTGGTCCTGAAATTTCTAAAATTTTAAATTATACAGCACAATAATACTGTTAAGATGCACTAAAAATGAAACCACATAACTAACCAAAGACAACATGCAATTTCAAATTGTATTCCCTGCCTAAAAGAACATAGGACCATCTATCAACAGCTGATACCAAATGTCAAATGTCCATTTGTGGACTCCCCAAACCTAATCAGAGAGAAGTTCCTTTTCTCTCCCAAGAGCCATGATCAAAGAAACCTAATCCACAACAAAGCAGCCACTTGCAGAGGTCCATATGGAGGAATCCTGTTAAGAGAACGAGAGCTTCTCACCACAGAAGGCTACAGGGTACCTGACCACAGTGCGAATGGCATCCAGGGTCACGTCAGACACTTCTGTGCTGCAAGGGCTGGCCCTTGCACTGGAGGATGTGTAGCATTACCCAAGCATTTCCCACTGAACGGCAGCAGCACCTTCCTCCAGTTAACAATCCAAAGTCTCCAGACATGGCCATAGGTCCTGTGCAGAGGATCTCCAAAGTGAAAACCACTGAGCTAGACCAACATATTTCAGGGTCACTAAAGACAC